TATGTTTGACCTCGTTTGCCATACCGGTCACCACTTCTTGTAGGGACTTCAAGAATCTCATCTGAATTCAAGTCACCTATGAGTATCAGTATCATTCAGTTTGAAGGTTTATTGCAGGTTTTTTTATTGACTTCAGGTTAATATTCATTACAGACTGACATCAGTTGGATAACCATCGGAAACTTGGGAGCACTGGATAACTGTTCAGTCCTAGTATGGGATATTTCGACGATTTTGTGTTCTCTGAGATAAATCACTTAACTCTATGCACCAATGACCCTATTAAATACAAACCAGTATCTTGTTTCGTCAACTCCACAGTGGATAGTTTTATGGATAAAGCAACAGGCAGAGTTGATAAAGGATAACCAACAAATAGTGGTATTGAGAGCAGATGAAGGTTGAGATGTAATAACACTGATTAAAGATGATTATAAAATAAAGATGAACTCAATTCTTTAAGATACATTGAAACCCTAATGTGCTTTTACAAATATCCATTTTCCTTTATTCTATTCTGAAAGACGTTGAATTATTATTCATGCTTTCCATCTGCACTTAGGGCTGTTACTCACCAAACTCCAATATTAGCTAGTTGGATAAAGCTACGATAACTACTGTTTTCCAGTGCACGCATCTTTCCTCTTTATGGCTTTCTACACACTGCAGCTATTTCTTTGCTTTATAAGGAGGTCCAGAATGTTGAACTGATCATGGTGTTCATTGTCCTTTATGAACCTGATGCTGACATTAGCCTGACTAAATATTCCATGAAGTGAGAATGCACGATTTGTATTTCTTTAAACAACATTTGTGATGTTTTAAGCCTCTGATTTCAGTTGTTTTCGTTTAAATTTGTCCATGAAGATAAGGGTAATAATGTTATAAGGATGAATTCGATTCTTCAAGACACACTGAAATTCAGAAATGATAATTTTCAGAAAGACTTGAACAACGTCACAGAAAAGCGAGTCATTAGAATGTTGAAAGACCTTCTGGTAAGTTAACTGATTGACAGATCTACATAGAATTATCTGAAGTCCTTAGGCTGTCTTCTGTCCTGTATGTTTGGATCACTGAAGATACACAAACGAACCACCCTATTTGACACTGCTCTTGTTGTTGTTCGTGCCATCTTCAAATTCAGGATGGGGAACTAGTCAGTGACGTTTCCCTTTATTCCAACAGTGTGTTCATAAACTTGCCAATACTCAAAATGTACTGCCAAATGCGGTTAGAAAAGACTCATATCGATCTTCAGATTTCGCTGACCAAATTCGAGTGATCTAAACACTGGATGTCTTTCTCACCTGTTTGTGGCCAACTTCATCAGCGGTTTATCCAGGTAAATTCAGGTCATACAGATGAATTGAACAGACCAACTGAACGAAACTGAAAGAGCAAAACGGTAATGCTAAGATTTGATCACTTTGACCTGCTTAGCGAGGTCTACTGATCTACCTCAGTAGTTTCTAACTATTCATGTTGCTCAGTAGCATATTTCGTTAGTCCTTAACATTTCTGTCACAGATCACACCTTGTGATCTTGACCCAGTGGCTTCCCACAGAAACCTAGCATGTTAACATCACAGTTGGGTTGTTGAGAAATTAACTGTTCAGTTGTGAGAAATGTCATCGTGGATAGTACAATCTTTAAATCGTTTGGAAATTTATAATCCTGTTCACTCCAAATAGTTTAGATAATAAAAATTTTCTGAATTTCCACTACAGAAGATTGTAAACATGAATATGAATTTCGCTGACATTGATCCTGGTACATATGCTTAACTTTGACTTCAATATGTTGTATATGGCATATTTGCTAACTATTTCGTCCTTTACTAGCAGAGATTTAAAACAAACAAAATACTTTGTGTCACATCTAAGGTCGTGAGTAATACGGCTGTTTAAAGTGTCTGAAATACTTACAGTTTGTTGGAATCGTCATAATAAAAGTGAATGACAGATGAAGTTAAGTGCAGTCTTAGGTGAATGTCTAGGTCGACTGGACAATTTGTAAATCTTTTGTAAATAGATAATTATATTGTAATTATCTAACTAAGTATTTTATTTCCAGCATTTATACACATTTTTGATTGAGTTTACTACTGAAAATCTTTTATTTATTATTTATATATTATTATTTTTCTATTGGGTTCCAAGTGGAACATAGAGCTTCAATAGCACTTCTCCATTTCACTCTCTTCTCTCTAGTCTTCAAAACCCGACTCCACTACTGCCCACAAGCTTTCATTTATTCCTCACATGATCTTCTCCATGTCACCCTCACCTCGGACGCCTAAATCGTCCTTCCCCATTTCGGTTCCACTCGACGACCTGGTTTGGCACGTGATGTCCCCAATCGAATCCATCTCCACTTCCTCCTTCTACATATTTTCTGGGCGATGGGTTCTTGCTTGGTTCGTTGACAGCCAACCATAGTTCCTCCTTGCTTATTCTCATTATTCTGGCCATCTGATCTGATCTTCAGTATTGAGTAGGCGTAGGTAGCAGTTGTTGATGTATGCCTGCAGTTTGCTGGGATTACTTTTCGTAACACGTCCGTCTCTCAACTGTCACATAGAAGCACTGACTTGACCTAATTTGTGTTGAAACCCCGGATGTTGTTCACGCTTTATGCTGATTGCAATTCAGTGCAGTGCAGTAGATTTCCACGCTGATTTCAGATTAATGCAGCAAAGCTTGTCTTGCTGTCTTTCCGATCCTGACTGGCTTTGACATCCTCATCTGTGCCTAGGTGAGTAGATGAAAGCAACAACTTGATTTAGGTTTGTCTCGTTGATGGTGATTGATGCTTGTTGTTGTCAATGAATTGGTATGTTCACCATCGCTTTCTCTGTCTTCTCTACGTTCACTTGAAGTCTCGTCTTCGTTGACTCTTCTGTCAACATGTTGGTTTTTGCCTGTAGATCTTCGAGTTTGTGCGACAAGACATTGAGCAACAATGACCAACGGCGAAATCCAAGTCTTCTTCTGAAGCTTTTTCATCGGTCAAACAGCTCATGCTCATCTTTTCACAGCTCTTCGTAGTTTCTTGCATGAGCCAGTCCGGATCAATCGACCACAATGAGGAAGATGATCGGTGATAGTAGGAGGCAACCTTGTCTTACTCCTGTTCTTTGTTTTCACTTCAAATGCGTCACCGAGCTTTCGACTGTGAATCACTTGGCATGTAGCGTTGTCATATAGTTGTTGAATAAGGTTGATAAAGGTTTGTGGTTCTCCGTAGTGTTGAAGCAGTTTCCAATTTGCTTCTCAGTCTACGCTGTTGAAGGCCTTTTGAAAATTGATGAAGTTGAGGTTGACTTGCCTGCCATTCTATGCTCTGTTCTATGATGACGCGTACCTTAGCGCCGCAATTTTCATCTGCACACGATGTTCTCTTCCTGGTGGTGGTCAATTCAAGAGCTTTAGAAATGGTCAGCACATCGTTTACTTTGTTTCTCCTCTTTGAAGATAACTAAGTTTCCTTCACCATCTTCCATATGTTTCATCTGTGTTGATCTCTTCCCTCTCAAATAGTAACCTGGTTATTTGATATAATGTTGTCAGGTCTCTGTCTCTCCCACCTGCAACCTGTTCTGTTTTACTTGCCAATGTGTCGTAGAAGTGTCAGCTTCTATGTATACGTCGGCATCCATTCCTTATCCTGTCTTGCTTCTTCTTCCTTCTTGGCACGGTTATGCAGTTTTCCTATTACGTCTCTTTCAAACAGTTCTAGTGTTCTTCCACCCAGGTTTCCTGGAGAATGTTGTTTAATGTCTCACATCTTTTCCTGATGACTGAATGACGTGAAGATGTACCTTGCAGTTTCGTCCTTCAGTTTGTGTTCTGGGTGTTGAAATCGGACTACGGTCGTCTAGTGCCAACTTCTGTGAAGGATTTCAACTTGATTTTGAATGTCTCTTGCTGTAGATAGTGTGTGGTGTCAACCACCTACGTCCGCTCCCATTTTTCGTCTGATCTTCTATCTAGTAGGCTGCATCTCCACTTTCCTCACATTGAGATGAAGTCGATCTGATTTTTAGTGTAGTGTGTCCTTTTGTCTGGTGAAATCAAATCCATATCGCTGCCTTGTGAATATCCTTGTGTTTGTACACACCGCCTCAATCATCAAGTCGTTGAATGCGTAGAAGTCTGCAAACAGCTCTCAATTCTCACTCATCATTTCACCGAGTGCCTCTCGATCCATGTTTAGTTCCCTTCCTGTGTTGTCCACTACCAGTTTGGCATTCATATCACCCCACCCATTAGAATTTTGATGTCATCGACTAGGATGAGGTCTTGTTCAGTACTGATTGCAGTTGTGTGTAGAATTCCTCTTTCTTCTCTTGATCTACATTATTTGTAGGTGCGTAGAGTAGCATTGTATGATTGTGACACATCGGTCGATTGGCTTGCCTGATGGCTTTCACCAACCGCTGTCATTTCATCTCTTCGATTCCAGAGAGGAGTAAGTTCTTTTTTTTCTTTGTGCTTTGAAGTTTGTTTGGCCACTGGATTGATTTTACGGAGTAGGGTTGCTAGCCCAATGCTCGACCTTCCCCTTTATCAAGGTTTAGGACCGACTAGTAACTAGTGAACTAGTTAACCAGGCGAAGTTCTGAAAATCTTTTACATTGGTATTTTCGAAGACACTAGTTGTTTCCCGGAATCGTCTACCCTATTGGTTCACTGTACAACATGTTTTTACATCTGTATACCATTGGACCAATTGGGAGTGATTATCTGTGAATAACCGAATATAACCCTCAAGAGATAGAAAATGATTTGATAAACATTTCAACTCTTAAGCAGTTCATTTGAAACTCTCATCTTGCCTAGTAAAAATGAAATAGACGGTTTATCCTGCAAGCAGAAACCATAGTAACCTAAAAAAAGTCCAACCCAGAAAATAACTGATTGTTGCTATTGTTATTATTATTATTGTAACTGCTTCGATTACGTTTCCACTAGGAATTAATACGTGTTCAATATTTCTCATTTTGGGCGAGAAATATAAAAACTGAGATAGACAAATATCACTACATTTCGAAGCTTTGATTACAGTGAAGTCTTATTAACTGGATAGTTGTATATTGAGGAGTAGTATTCTCACATACTGTGACGGCTCAGAATGGATGATGACCAGACAAATGACTCAGGTAATCATTAATTGACAGTCATAAACTTTTCGATGAATTTCCATCTTAATATTTCTTAAACTTATTTGTAACATTTACACGAAACTAAAGGATTGTCTAATGCTAGAGTAACTTTTCACACTGGGTTCATGAGTTGTCGGAAAGTCGAGAATCCCTACAAACCATCAAAATCTCATTGGTGAATTGGTTCAAGATGAGCTTCTAGAAGTTCTGGTGAGATTCAGTTCTCTGTGAGATTCACCTAATAGTAAGCTAGGAGTGATACTAACCAGTGACACAGGATGATGTTCGTGGCATATCACGAAATAATAGAAGTAAAAAGATGCGAACCACTGGAAAATCGCTGAATGGTAATGCAGTCAGCATGAAACTTGGCGGTTATTTGCTCAGTCTGTCACACGGTTGTGAATGTTCACTGCTTAGGAGCAATACATTACAAGCTGAAAAGTTATTCAGTAGGTTTAACTGATACCAATCGATAATGACAGCTACTTTTAAATCAACAGATCCCACACAATCTATGCACTGAAGAGGTGATTTCTTCTTAACATTAAATAAGTACATGATGTGATAAACAACCACAAATGTTATGAAGATTTGTTTTATATTTGAAATGAACTTACATAGTTCAGTCCTATCAGCATTGACAATACTACGAAAAAATTCCCCACCGTAAAATCAAATATTGGCACAAATTCATCTCTGGGTAGTTTAGCAAATGTTTGACTGATATTTTAAATATAATAGCTAACATCCTGACAACTTGTTAGTATACTGATAAGTATTTGCATCTTACTGCAGTTGAATTGCCCGACTAGAAGAAGCTAACCAGAACACCCTTGTGATTGATATGCTATGCCTTCAAAATGTATCTAGGACGAATATGTGCATACGTTGTGGTTATGGTGTCTCAACAGTTCAACTTCAGGCTGTTTGATATGTAAACAGGAAGGATCATCGTGTAGTTGTATTCACGGTTGGTATTTCTCAAGTCATGTGTTGACTAACTTCCAGTTGCCTTGTTTTTCACTAGTTCAACGATGAGCAAATATTCCTCTAGGACACCTGAATACCTGAACATTAGGGATAGTTAATGGAACCAAAAGCAGTCACTATCTTTTTCAACTACTCTGGGATATCACAACAATATGAACCTGATATTGGATAATGTAAGTAGTGCTGCATTCAGCTGTTGTCATATAGACACTGTAAATAATTTGAGTTGCATCAATAAATCTGTTTAGTTCGGTCCGAGAAAATACGAAGTCTATTCTCAACTAATTCTGCTTTCATAGTTTTATACAATTGGTTCCCTTCACTATATCAATCAAACGTCGATAGGTTTCCACCTCAAATTGTATCTACAAATTCCCATGTACATGTCAAAATAGTTACATTGGAATGATAGACAGGAGAGCTGAGACTAGATTTCGTGAACACATTCCAACTAAGATAAGCTTAAAGGAGCCAAAGTGCCTTAAAAGTTTCATTACTTAACATCTGATGGATACAAGACATGATGTTCAAATCTCGAAAGCATTTAAAATAATTAACAAACAAAACAACCCTAAGCTGCTAAGATTTGGAGAAGTAATTGCCATCAAAAGAATAAAATCAAACTGATCTATTCAAAAAGAAGCAGTTTTTACCCTCCGACATTCATGGTAACCATTGATTTCTTTCGTCATTCAGTATAACCCATTCAAAAATTCTGTAGTTTCATCTCCCTTTAAAAACAAATCCATAATCAATGCCTATTTCATTTCCACTAATTGATTACTTGACCCTGTCTAACCTGATCTTAACTCATTATTTACTCATCACATAGACACACGTAATACTTTCTGTTCCATTTTGATTGGTCACATGTAGCAGAATGATAATCTGACTATATAAACAAAAGATGACTTCACATTAAGTAACCACAACTTATTTCATTTAAACCTTCCTAATGTGTGTCGATTCTCTCATTATATCACCAGTAGACTTTCATCTTCTTGATAAGTGAATTATGTGGATTTTATGTTTCTCTCTATATATCTTATGAATCTATAGTCTGTATATAGTTGAAGAAGAGGCGACGAAATACAATTATTATTATTATTATTAGTCCCTTGGGTTCCTAGTGGAACATAGAGCTTCATTGGCACGTCTTCAGGGAACTCTGCTCTCTGAAATCATTTGAACCTAGCTCCACAACAGCCTAGATGCTCTCATTTCCTCCTTGCACGATCTCCTGCATGTCACCCTCGGACGTCCAACTTGTCGCTTCCCATGGGGATTCCACTCGACGGTCTGGCCTGGTGCGTGATGTCCCCAGTCGGCCTTCTCAGTGCATGCCCAATCCATCTCCACTTCCTCCTGCATATTTGTTCAGCCATAGGTTCTTGGTTGGTTCGTTCCCACAGCTCCTTGTTGCTTATTCTTTCTGGCAATCCATCTGATATTCAGTAACGAGCCAGCGTAAGCAGTTGTTGATGAATGTCTGCAGTTTGTTGGAAATCACTTTCGTAACGCGCCAAGTCTCTCAGCCATACAGAAGCACTGACTTGACTGAATTGGTGTTGAAAATCCGGATCTTGTTCACGCTTTATGCTGAGTGCAGTGCAGTGAAGATCTCCACACTGGTTTCAGGCTAATAAAGGCCTGTCTTGCTTTTCCGATTCTGACTTTGACATCCTCGTCTGCGCCTGTGTCGCCGCCTATCGTTGAAACAGTGTTGCCTAGATGGGTGACGGAGGCTACTTCCTTTAAGTTTCTCCCATTGATGATGACTGGAGTTTGTTGTTGTTGTTGGTGATGTTGGTTAGGTATCTTCATCACCTCTGTCTTCTCTATATTCACTTGAAGTCCCATCTTCCTTCGCTGTCTCTTCTGTCAACTTGTTAGTTTTCGTCTGTAGATCTTCAAGTTTATGTGACATCAGGCACAAGTCATCGGCGAAATCCAGATCTTCTAGGTTCTTTTCCGCAGTCCAGTGCATCCCCCTCTTCTCGTTCCTTACTGTTTGTTACATGATCCAGTCAACCACAATCAGGAATATCATGGGGGCTAGTATGTGGTAACCTTGTTTCACTTCTGTCTTCACTTCAAAACATCACTGAGCTTTCCATTGTAGATCACCTGATATGTGGCTTCTTCATATAGTTGTTGAATGAGGCTGATAAAGGTTTATGGCATTCCGTAGTAATGAAGCAGCTTCCAAATTACCTCTCGGTCGACGCTGTCAAAGGCCTTCTCAAAGTCTATGAAGTAGGGGTTGGGTTGAGTTGACTGTCATCCTATACTCTGTTCTGTGATGATGCGTAGTGTAGTGTTGCCAATTGATCCGCACATGATTTGTACATCCTGAATCCAGCCAGCCTGTTTCGGTCGTAGTTTTGAATCTAGTGCATCCTTTAGTCTCTGCAGGATGATGCGGCTTAATATTTTGCTTGGGATGGACAGGAGAGTGATTCAGTGCCAACTAAATACAATGAATTCATTGTATTCTGCTACACTTGCTATTCTAGCCTTGCTAAAATTTCATAGTTTCATTTTCAGGGAGTTATACAATGAGTTATGAAACTATGTGTTCACTCGGCATTGAGACGAGTAAGCTAAGTGTGTACTACGCTGTGCTCAGTATTATCACTACTGTTTGGAGTGAAATGAAGAAATTCAAAGCTTGATATAGTTAATCAGGGGATTTTATCTCAATGTGAAGTCACAATGTAGACAGCTTTGAATAATGCGGCGCATGAAACGTCCAGTGATGTAAAATGTAACAGTTTTTATGTTATAGCGTCAAGGATCCCTCTGCTAGCCGCTTTCCATCAATACTGTCAAAATGGAATAGCTTAGAGCTGTTAACTGAATTCATATTTCTCTGTTTAAAGATTAGGCGGAATTCAATTCATTAGCTCTTACTAGATGATGCAAACTCAAAGATATAGCGCAAAAACCTCTATTGGTTCAACATGAATAAGCTTGAAGATGTTTCTATTCTTTGAGAAAACATCATTATTGTACCGAATTGTTCGAAATCTATTGGCATATAGCCTCCTATGTGGATGTCTCAATACTGCGTAAATGTCAATTATGGTAACTTAGTTCGTCCTGAAAAGTCGCGTCCTGGATTTCTTTGCTAGCCACAATCAACTAAATTATTATAACGGTCATCATTGTTAATTATTGTTCAGTTGTCATGCATTTGTAATGACCTGGTGTATCAGGAATAGTGTCTTTGACATTATTATTATTACTTGTCTGTTGGGTTCCTGGTGGAATACAGGGCTTCAACAGCAAGTCTCCATTCCAATCTCTTCTCTCCAGTTTCCTAAACCTCGCTCCACCACTACCCACAACCTTTCATTTATTCCTCACACCAACTCCTCCATCTCACCCTCACCTCGGTCACCCAACTCATCGTTTCCCATTTCTTTTCCACTCGATGACCTGACCTCAAGCATGATGTCCCCAATCGACCTTCTCAGTGTATCGTCAGTCGAATCCATCTCCACTTTCTCTTTCTGCATATTTATTGGGCTTTGGGTTGTTGGTTGGTTCGTTCCCAGAGTTCCCCCTTGCTTATTCTCATTATTCTGGACCTCTGATCTGATCTTCAGTATCGAGTAAGCGTAGATGGCAGCTGTTGATCTCCGTCTGCAGTTTGTTGGAAATGATTTGTGTGACGCGCCAAATTTTCGAATCATATAGAAACACTGACTTGACATTTGTGTTCAAAACCCGGATGTTGTTCACGCTTTATGTTGATTGCAGTGCAGATCTCCACACCGGTTTCAGACTGATGAAGGCCTATCTTACTGTCTTCCCGGTCTTGACTGGCCTGTGCCCCCTGTATTTGGAAACAAGGCTGCCTAGGTAGGTGAAAGAGATAACTTGATTTAGGTTTGTCTCGTTCATGGTGATTGGTGCCTGTTGTTATTATCGGTTGGGTATCTTCATCATCTCTATCTCTGTCTTCTCTACGTTCACTTGAAGTCCCGTCTTCGTTGCCT